CATTAAAAGATGTTTTTTTTTTACAGAATTAGATCCTCTGACCTCTTCTAGAAGGTCACAACAAAGAATGCAGCATCTCTGTGTGTCTTACTTTATAAATGCATTCAGATAAAACTGCTCTTGGCTTAAAAAAAATCACAAGAAACAGTTATTTTATGAGAACAACTCTGTTTTTTTAATCCTTACATAGCTGTTTTTTCTGTGCATGTATTGCAGGACAGAGGCTGTGGTGACGTCTCCTGCTTGGTGATGGATCTCTGGGAGCTTTAATTTGGCTGCTCTCAGTGTGAATCTGTGCTCGGGAAGCTGCGTGTGATCAGGAGTGAGTCAGCAGTTCAGTGTGTCAAACACTCCAGAGCTTCTACTGGCCTCTGCTGGGAGCCAACAGAGCTACAGGAGCTGAATGATGTTCAGTTTGTTACATATCTGGTGTCTGCAAACCAGGAACATTTGAGTAAGTTCAGTGATTTTTGCAGTTTTACCCCAAATGAAATCAACTATCTTAAGAAATACAGTTAAAGGTTAAAGATAGAAAGGATTTTGTTACTTTTAAGATAAATTTGAAGAAAGGAAATGTTAAATATAGAGATAAAGAAATGTGCAACAATTAGAAAGTTATGAAAAGTGAGCAGAGAAGGATAATGTTATTGTATTTAATCTCTGGTCAGATGAAAAATGTATGTAGAGACTCATCGGTGGGGATTTTTGGAGGGATGCCATGTTCAAAACATGCATTTGTTCATAACAATATGAAATATAGATGAAAGAGGACTTTTAATTAATTTTGAGAAAAAATAGAAACACATAAAGAAAAGGCACAAACTTAATGCATTAAAAATCCCCAAGAATGCAGGAAACTCAGTATTTAAAGCTAAAATTTCCTGGAGACGGACACCTATACCTTCCTATTTAAAGTTCAAACAAAGGTCATGTTGACATCTCTTATATGAAATCTGAAATGTGCACTTTAATCCCATCTAAATTGTCTGCTTGCAGATTAAAAACTGTGGAGCAGAGAGGAATATAAAGGAGTACAAGTGGAGAGTATTATGCATCTTAACAATAAGCACCAACATTCATTCACCCTGGAAGGTTGTTCATGTTGTATGAAGAATATTTATGAGCACAGTGACTGTTTGTGGCTTTAAGAGCTGTTGGAGGAGATCAGGAATTCTGTTTTCCTGTGTTAAAGTTTAATTTTTACAATTAAAACATGCATAATTTGATTTTAAGTTCTTTGGGAGGGGTGCAAAATAGCAACACAAGATAACAAAAGCACTTTTTATGTATATTTCTATTTTGTTTCCTTTTGCCTCTTGCAGCTACATCTTCATGATCCAGTATAATGGGATTAACTGAACCTGCAAACACTTCCACTTAGACCCATAAATGAGCCAATAATTTGACAAAACTCAGCTGGAAATGTGCTTCTAAACACTGAAAACATCCAAAAAATGCATCTAATGTAAGAGTTATATGTGGAAAAATGGTACATTTTTGGCGTTTTCTGGACAAATGTGCAGCGTGTGGAGCCTCCCCGCCGTGTGTGAGTCAGTCTGAGCAGCTGAGCATGAGATCTACATTCAAAAATGCCTTTGCATCTTTACGTGCCATGCGTGTGTATCCCACACCCCGACTCCCAGCAAAACAGAGGCAAGGCAGGACCGAGCGATGTTGGACGCGTTATTATTGCAAGCAGCGGGACAGTGAGACAAATTGGAGGACGAGACGAGCGCAGACATATTGATCTCCAAGGTAAAGCTCTTTGTTTCTTTTTTTGCATGAATAGAAAAAAAACAGCAGAGAATCCGGCAGCAGCAGCAGCAGATGATGATGATAATGATGCTGCTGCTTCCAGTGTGAGAGTGTCTCAGCTCCAGCAGAGGTGGCTCAGATTAGACATTTTGGGTTGTGGCTGCGCATTTCTTCATGTGGGTGTCAGCTCGACCTGCAGAAATGACGACGTGACGCTGAACTTTGCGGTGGCAGCCGGTCGGGGCGGCTGCAGGGAGGATGATGCCCGGCAGCATCCGCGTCTCTCAGCATCCTTATCTCTCTTTTTTTTATTGTCATGAATGCCCGCTGAGAGCTCCACACCCGGCGGTTTGGCAGAAACCGGTGTTCTTAGATGCGCTGCTGCCAGCCAGGATGTCTCCACGTTGGTGTTTCCACATTGAAATGCCGGTCAGTGTTTGTGCTGCTGCTGCTGCTGCTTTCCTGTAAACCAGAGCTGAGACCAGGCCCAGAGCTGCTGTCTGGCAGGATGCACCTTCAGCTGACTTGGAGAAAGAACACATACAAACATGCTGCTGCTCAGAAATAGATCAAAATCACTGATTTCTACCATTTTGGGATTCTGCAGAAAACCAGCTTCTATCCTTCTTTTTAAAAATAATCATAATGTTGCTGAATGAAGTTTGTAGTGACTTAAAGTGACCTCATCCTTCACTGTGGCTCTTTTATGTCCCCCGGGATGTCATTTGACACCCAAAGCATCCCTCCTAAGCTTCTCTGAAATGTGTGTTTCCTGCTGACTCTTGTTCAGGGCAGTCCAGAGGTGAAGAGTCAAACCTCCAGCAGTTCAGCCTGAAGCCCAGATGTGCAGCTCAGCTCCTCAGTCAAGTCACATGATTGGAGCTTTTTGTACTTTCTCTACCTCTGTGATCCACATTAGCTCCGACTGCTGCGTTGCTGGAAATGTGGCGTCTCCATGGAAACTGAGGTTGTCAAACCACGATGACAAAGTCGTGTTAATATTTGAAAGGCCGTCGATTAATCTTCAAAAACTGCGAGCTCCAGATTAAGGGCTCGACGCAAAATGTGCCTCTCTGCAGTTTTAATCAGTGAGAATCTGCACCTGCGCTCCAGTGCTGATGGAGATTAATATCTCTTATGATTTCAGAGCAGATAGTCCACATTTTAGAGGAGGAAATGAAGAATATTTACCCTGCAAATGATGAATGGAGCAGCATTAATTACCTCATTTCAGTCAGGCTTGGTTCCAAGTTTCCAGTTTGCTTTTTTTAAACCTGTCTCTAAAATTTACCATGATGACAGTAAAACATAGAGGTGAGATGTCTGGTGATATGAGGAGTGTGGCGGTGACAGCACTGACATGTAATCTGTGCAGACGAACTCTGAGCTGAGGGAGAATGTGGTGAAAAAGTTAACCTATATCTCATTTTGCTGGAGTCCCTGAAAGCCTCACAAGGACCCATGAAGGTCTCAGAGATCCCAGAGAGGGACGACGTGGCCCAGATTCCTCTCATTTATGCCATTTATCATCGCAGGGTGTAGAACTCTACAGGAGAACATGTGAAACCTCGAAGCATCCTCAAAAAAACACAAGAAGAGCTCAATAGTTAAGAGGCTTTTTGGTTTATTTAAACTAAACACAATTTACAAAAGAATTATGAGCCACATTTAAAACATATCACATGAAGCAATTTACAGTTTATTTACTTTTATGTTCAAATAAACTGTGTTGTTGTCCAAAGTATCAGAGACATTCATCATATCACCAGTAGTTAAAATGAAAGAATAAAAACCAACCTGTATCACTGTAATGTACTTACGTACATGTACAAACTGTGAATGAAATGTAATTAAAGAAGAAATAAAATGACAGAATATAGATTTTTAATTAAATTAAATACTTATTTAAAGTCCATTATATGTGAAATATATAGCTTAGTATAGAACTAATATTTAACATTAAATAATTATATCCTGTATATTAACCCAGCACTCAAACGACTGCTCAGATCTTGAGTAAAAAGAACAATACTAGAGTTTAGAAACTCTCTGTTACAAATAAAAACAAGCCTTCAAAAAGAGAAAAAGCCAAAAAATACTGAAAAGACCAAAAGTAAAAGTGCTCATTATGCAGAATGGGTCATTTCAGAATTAAGTATATTATATAACTGAATTATAATTATTAAAGGATTCATGTATTTATCACTTTTATGTTGCAGCTGGTGAAAGTGAAATTGAGTTTAATGACTTTATTAACTCTGGGTAGTTTGTAATTTTACCTCTTGGGATCAATAAAATTGCATTTTAATCTAATAATAATAATAAAACATCCCAATGTATCTCTTGGTCCCTTTTTGTATGATTAATCTGCAATTCGCATTTAGGTATTTATTTTACCGCCTTTTGTTGTTTTTGTGCCTGTAGATACCAGTTACATGTGTTTAAAGGAGTTTTCTCATATTGAGTCAGAGATCTTCTCGAAGTAGCATTTGCATACAACAGACTTGTCTTCTGAAGGTTTTTACAGCAGGATCATATCCTGATTTATGAAGTGATAACAACAGATATTCCAAAATCAATTTTATAAAAACCTTTGACTGTAATATGTCAACAAATGAAACAACGATTTTGATGCTGATTTTATCCATTTTCACCCTACTTACCAACAGTATCTCCTCTACGTTCAGTATTTGAGTAAATAATTTTGTTTAAAAAGCACCAAAACAAGGATTTATGAACTGCTTTGACAGACAAAACAACATTTAGGATGAAGCTAAAACAAAAAGACAAAAGATTCAAAAATGCAAAATGTAACATGTTAAGAAAAATAAATACAAGTACAATAATTAAGCATTAAAACCTTGATAATTGGGCAAACCAAGTAAGCATTATTCGAAATACAAAATATGTCTCATAAATACTAAGATGAATACCCTAAAGTACGAGTTGCTATCTAAATTTATCTGCGTAATTTGAACATTAGTGTTTTAATATCATCTTTAAATATACTATAAATAAGAATGTATTATATTGTAGAATTATTATTATTTTTATTTTTACATACAGAACAAACAAACAAAGAAAGTTAAATGAAAAAATAAAGAATCATACTTCGTCAAACTAATAGTCGCCTTTTTGTTACGTCACTGTTCTGATGGACCAATCAAATCGCTTCCAGCAAGTTTTGCCGCGAGAAAGGGAACCGGACAGAAGTGGGGGTGCTGGTAAGAAGGCGAAAAGAGCTGCAAAGATATAGATAATCAGTATTTTAGTCTATACTTAACTAAAGTGCTGGCTTCTTGGTGAATCTATATGGCATCGGGAGTGTAATAAGATTTCTCCGGAGCTCTTCAGCGGGCAGCAGCCGGCAGTTGGGCGGAGCGTTAGCATCCTCGCCTATTAACTTTAGCTAACATGCTAGCCCCGGCTAGCTTCAGGTAACAATAACAGGCTCGTTGTCTCCCCACTGCCCGGACAGCTAACAGCAGCTCGGCCAGGTAGCAGCAGCCCTCCCCCCGTCCTCGGCCCGACCTCATGGATCCCGGTGGAAGCGAACTGGACTCCAGCCTGCCTCAGCCAGAGAACCCGTGCCTGATCGTGGAGGACTCCCAGCCGGACAGCGTCGCTCTGGAGGACGACCCCGAGAGCAGCTACCGAGCGCTGCTGGCCCGCCGCCTGTCCAGCCTGCAGCCCACCGCCCGCAGCCCGGTGCTGGTAAGCTGCACAGACATCCTGCAGGGACCCAGGTTTAACACACAACAACACAAGTTGTGCATGTTGGACACATTAGACAAACAAATATAAGTTACTGATCATCAGTGGTGCAGCAAGTAAATAAACCAGTACAGGTCAAAGTCCTGAAAGTAAAAACTACTCAAGGAAAACATTAGAAAAGTCAGTAAAGCATCATTAAAATACCTTAAAAATACCTTAAAATTATTAGAGTAAAACAGAGTTGTATTGCCATTTGCACGGGTGCATTACAGTTCAGTTACATTGGAATTGTTTGTGCAT